TCGTGTTCTTAGTCTAATGGAATTTGCAGCTCTTGTCTGAGATAAGTGTAAAACTCATAGATGATTATTTGTTATTGCCGTAAGCAGCTCTTATCAGACCTGTTAGTCTTTCGTGCTTTTAGTCAAACTGCAAATTAACACAAAAATAGTCTGATTCCTGTGTTTTGGGCGGTTGTTTGCAAGCAGATCTAAACTGTCATGATTAAGTCATACACTGACTCAAACAGAAACACAATAACGGGGTCACAGAAAGCTGCAAAATCAATGAATTATATATGAGTCTTGTCTTAATTATCTTACCTGCTCTTTCTAGATCCACTGCCTGAATAAGTTCCCACTGAAGAAAGTTCACAGCTCTCACAGGGAGATGAGAAGGATGGGTGAATTTTATATGGAGGATGACAGTCAGGGGTTTGGAACTAAGAATACTTTAAATTCCCTCAAAAGAAAAACAGTTTTTAGCCAAAAATCCATCTTGACAAACTTTAATTTTAGAAAACTTGATTGCTAAGCAAAGTTTAATTGCTGAATTTCAGGTGAAGAACGTAATCCTGAGAAGAGATTCACTAAATTACTGTTACCATGGAAATGGCAAAAGAGCTTAGCAGCGACCTAGTCACAAATGAAGTAATTGCTCCTGTTCACCCTTTCTGACTTGGTCATTACAGGTACAGTACTTTGGTAGCTTAAGTCTACCTCACAGGCAGATTCATCAAGGTTTCATAGAGAGCAGGGTGTGTGAGTCACATCACCTAATCACTGAGGTGCCTCAAGGTTCAGTGCTTGGTCAACTCCTTTTCTAGACAGAGCCCCTTCTAATTTCTGCCAACCCATCGGCCGACCACAATAGAACTTTCACACTGTGTTTAACCCCAGTTATCATCGTTCTGTCCCCCCATTTGACCCTGGGTAAAGGCAGGTTTCACACTTGTAATTTAGAAGCAGCACTAGCACTGGGGTTATGAAACCCTGCTCCAGAGCAGGATAAGCTCTGCTTTTGTGGTGTTAACCCTGCATAACGGTGTCAAATGTTTTCAGTATGAAACGATGTGTTGTTGAATGTTGAAATGTTATCATTAGATGATTGGCAACAGACGGCAATAGTGTGCCTCATAGTCATGTGCTTTGGACA